ATATCTAAATCTGAGTTACATCTAAAAAATCATAGTTCATTAAGATGGTTTGCAAGCACATTAGGAAGCAAGTTCAGGTCAAAAAGAGTGGAGGAGATCATTATATTCATTGTATTCCAGAAATTCATTCCTGCCAATACATCACTTAGTACTAATAATCCCTGGGGTGACATTTCCGATGACAATATACATCATAAACGAATGAAAACTATTTATATGATTCTTGAATTGTAAGTCAAAGATAAACTTTAAAAAGAAACATGATTTTTTTGAAGATATCTGTCAAGCTAGAGTTTCTTCAACTACAGAATACTAGCAAATGAGTTCTAAGTAAGAGTTGTGAAAAAAATGTTTATCCTTTTCAGACAGTGGACAGACTGAAGCCCAGGAGGTAAGGTAAAAATCTTGGCACCATATTCAACACTATGCTGATTACCATCTCTTAGGGGTAATAAAAAAGTATTTTCTTCTGTCCTACAAGCTCTACAATTAATTCTCCCATAACAATCTATCAAAAGTAATATATTCCTCTGAGCCCATAGTCTCAATTCTTATAACTTTTTTTTTTTTTTTTAGCAATGCTTCTAACACTGCCTTTCCCTTTGCTGCAATTTATGGAAAAAGAAGTGCAGTTGCAGACTAGCTGTTATAACTAGAAATAGAATTCAAAAGAAATTAAGGCTGTTTGTTTCTTTGTTGGTTTTTGTTGTGGTGGCCCTAGAGTTCATTCCAACTAAATTATTTCCTGAAGCTATTCACCCATATCTAGAGCCTCTCAAACATATTTTCAAAACCCTTTGGACTCAATATGATGAATCAGTGATGTGACACTAGCTGAATAGAGAATATGTTTTAAACATAAGCATAACCACCATTGGGTATAAATAGTTAAATAGTAAAATCTGATTAAGGCAAAAACTAGATGATGTTCTACCAAAACTACTTAGGCTTTCAAGTAATAGGGGAGTGTTTCCCAGTAAGTCTTTAACTTGAAGCCTAGGACACCTAAAATTTCTCTGCATTCAAGGGTTTCACAAGCACTTTCTATTTATCATGTTTGTCTGCAAAAGAGCACATTTACAATGGAGAGATGCCACATCCTGGCAAACCCATATTTTATGGATTTGGTTAACAGCAAATGATAATAATAGCTAATATTTAATGAGGGCTTTCTACATGCCAACCATTAATTCCAGGAATTAACTTATTTAATCCTTATAATATGCATATGAAATAATATTAATAGCTCATTTTATAGATGAATAAGGTGAGATTTAGAATAGTTTACTAACATCTCTTGTCATACAGTTAGTAAGCAGCAGAGCTAGTATTCTAATCAATCTGTCTGACCCTAGATAGCCTAACTCTTAGTCACTAACCAGAGAACAGAAATACAAATAAGGGGGAATTGATAAGTATTGGTCACTTTAGAAACATTTCACTTAATCTTTACACAATACATTCTGTAAAAGGAAACTAAGTCTCAGAGAGATTAACTACCAATTCCACAAAGTTAGCAAGAGGAAAAGCTAGTATTCTATATACTACAGCACACCACCTCTCTACAGCTCAAAGACTAAACTGAATGGCAGATACAGAAGCAGAGATCTTACTTCAATTTTTATTTAAGTACTGATATAAGAAAGTCACCAGTGGAACCCGTCTAGAAGGGATGCTGATAGGATACAGAAAGCCTCTGTAGGTAATGTAAAACCAGCACAAGCAAAGAGCAGTAAGATCTAAATCATTAAGACATTACAGTGTTAGGGTGCTTGTGTGTATACCCATAGCACATGTGTAACTAAAGGGAGAAAAAGGAAGTTCGGCTACCTGCCACAATGAAAACCAAACTCATGAGATAGGTGCTGGTGCAAAAGGAAAGAGGTTTCATTCAGGAGCTACATGACCTAGGAGAATGGCAGATTTCTGTCTTAAAGACCAATCTCTCTTCCTGCTCAAGCCTGCCATTCTTATAGGGACAGAGAGGAGAAGACTTTTTTTCTGTTATCTTGCTAGCTTTCAGCATGCTCAGGGCCCTGTCCATTCATATGTCTAGCTTTTGGCAGGCTCAGTATAAGCCGCCATCTTGGCCGATGGGGGTGACTCCCTGGTGCTTCACTGACTGTCTACGGTAACATGTGGGAAGTGTTTGCTGTTTGGTTCCATTCTGTTTTTAATTACTCCTTTTACTTTCTTGATAAAATCTTGAGTGACTCTCAACTAGGGACAGTATCCACTACCAAAGAGTGTTTGTCAATGTGTGAGGGCAGCTGTCTTCATGATTGGGGCATCCTATTGGCATTTATTGAATATGGGCTAGAGACACCAAACACCCCACAATATTGTGTCTGCACAACAAAGCACTGTCCCACCAAAAATGCCAATACCGCTCATCCAACATTAGTACTTGAAAGGACCTGTTCAGGAATTGTAAAGAAAAAATACACGATCCAGGTCTTATACTAACTTCATTCATTCATTCATTTTTTATTTATTTATTTTTAAGTTCATTGATTACAGAGAGAGAGGAAGGGAGAAAAATAGAGAGAGAGAGAGAGAGAGAGAGAGAGAGAGAGAGAGGGAGAGAGAGAGAGAGAGAAACTTATCAAACCCACAACCCTGGTGTATTGGGATGATGCTCTAACCAACTGAGCTACCCTGCCAGGGAAAACATTCATTCGCTTTTTCACAAAATACCTACAAAGTATGTACTGTGCTAAGTACTGTTCTAGTAGCTGGGAAATCAGTATAATAAAATAGGAACATTTCCAGCCCATCATGAAATTTTCATGTTAGTTTATTTGTTTACCTACTACACAAATACACAAATACATACATAATTTTAGTCAGTGATAGACGCTATGTGAAAAAAAAATAAGGCAGGAAAGTGAACAGAGAGTAAGAGAGATATATTTTTGCAAGGCGTACAGGAAAGGAGGTGACACTTGAGCAGAGCCCTAAATGATGTTGAGAAAAACAGCCATGCAAAAGTCTGTAGGAAAAGTATTACTAGCAGAGAGAACAGCATGAGCAAAGTCAATAGGGAACGACAAAATTTGCATGTTTGAGAAACAGCAATAAAGTTTGATTGGAATGGAATGAGCATGGGTGAGTAGTGGGTTGACATCAGAGAGGCAGGCAGAGGCCAGAATGTTTAGAGCTTTGTGGGTCTTGATAAGGAGTTTGGAATTCTTCTCAATGTGATGGAACTGGAGAGTTTTAAGCACAGGAATACATAATCAGATTTTTAAAAAAATCACTAGACTAGCAAAAAGAAAAAACTGAGAACTAGGATACCATGGCACTAGGGAAACTAGCTAGGACTGTAATAAAGCACACAAAAGTATGTATAACAAGACCTTTGCTAAATTGCCTGATTGGGGTGGGTGCTGGTTGGGTAATTTAGCCAATTTTATTTTAAAACTATGAGGGCCCAAAATATCTCTTTACAAACTTCTGCCACCCTTTTTTCAGATGGGCCAGGTCATGAACTGATTTCTTAATAATGTAAAAAAAAAAGAAAAGAAAAAAAAAAAAGGCATTTTACCACTTAAAGCCTCTTCAAACTTAAAACCAAATCATTATCTTCAGTGTTATCACACCTAGAAACAGGTAGGTCTGTAATAACACTAACTTTAGAATAGTCTCTGCTGACTGAAATAAACATAGGGAAACATTAAATCCCCAAAATAGAATACGCGAGAATATTTTGGAAGCCATAAAAAATAACTCCTATTTCAAATATAATTGATTATAAAGGTACAAATCTAAAAGTAGATCAAGCAAACCAGGCAAAGACAGAACTTGCTAAAATAATTGTTTCAAGAAGCAATGCAGACAATAAGACAAGGATCTCAAGGTCTGGGCAGTACTTACTAAATGCTATTCTTGCTAAATGTTAAAATGTAGCACAGTATTTTACAAATGTAACTAAGCAGGATGAGCTTGAAAGGAACTCAGCCCATAAATGTAGCCAACTGCAAAGACAAAATCAACATGTAATTGACCAAATAGTGTATATAAGCAATGGCTAAGCCTCCTTTTGGGAGACAGAGCTGTGGATGTGAATCCCATCTGCACTACCTGTTGCAAGTAAAATACCCACCATTCATCAACCATGTCTGGGTCTTGCCTAGTGCACCCCAAACAGCAAACTCCTTGAGTTTGGTAACATTATTGTATAGTTATGCTCAGTCTTTCAATTTGCAAGACACCTTGGTTTGGCACTTCTTTGTCTCTCATAAAATCTTCTTGGCATATTTATTTATTATTAGCCAAATAATTGTTGGCCAACATTACTGAGCACTATCTGAAGTGTGTTGAGATAGGAATATAAAGTTTTGCTGTCAGTCTAGAGAGATTAGTAATACGTAAGAAAAAGATAACAATACAAGATTACGTGGGCATTGTACTGAATGTATCTGCTGTATCTGAGAGACTGAGACTTTCAAATAGGGCAGGTGACTTCATCCCTAACCCACATCATTAACAACTCACAATCTGAGGGTATCAAATAAGTTGTGGAGCCAGTAAATGAGTTAAGAAGACTCGGTGACTAGAAAGCTACAGTAAGGACTTCACAGATATTTGACTCAGGAAGGGTTATAACTTACATTTGCAAATAGTTCATTCTTATGATTTCAAAAAAGTTAGAAGCCGCTAGTTTAAAAGCACACGAAACAGATGGCTCTGCTCGGTAATTTCTTCTTCCTGTTGCCTTCACTTCAGTAAAAAACAGTTGCTGTCAGTTTTTGTTCTTACTTTTAAGAAGCTTTAGTACAAATACACTAAACCACTTTACCTGTAAAACATTGGGATGTGTGCGGTAAAGCCTCGTGAACTCCTTCTTCTTCTTCCCGGGTAGCGCGTGGCCATCACCCCACAGCCAGTCAGAGGGGAGCGCCCTGGTGCATCCTGGGAGTCGTAGGCAGCGGGGATTGTGGGAAGCGTAGTTTAGCCACGCCGCCCTCCTCGCCGTTCCTGTAATGGCTGCTTCCCGGAAGGTAAGGTAAGAGCTCTCTCTAAAGGGTACTTAAGAGTGCCCCATTTTATGTGTAAAACAGGCGCAAATTTGCACCCTGCCGGGCCAAAGCAGTGATTCTTTTTAAAATCTTACTATTAAATACTGGAACGAATTTGTCTCTCTCTTCGATTTATTTTTAGTTTATCCTGTATGGGCGAACTAACCAACCTTAAGTCTCCTACCCCTGCTTGAACAAACTATTTTCTGTAGTTATTACTCATTCCTTCCCCTTCCGTACAACTTCCCTGCTCTGCACTGCCTATAGCTGCCCACTTAAAATATTAATAATAATGAATAATTTTTAAATCTTCCCACCCTATTCTGATAATAGGCGCTGTCACGCGGAACCGCTTAGCCTCAGCATTCCGAGCTCCAGGAAGGGAGTTGAATTGCAAGTCAGATAGAATTATACATATATCGTTTCTTTGGTAAGTCTTACTAATTCCCCACAACTTCAGAGTTTTATGTTGTGACTTTTACCAGATTTGTCTGCATTTCTTAGATGGGAGAGACCCTATGAAAGTGTAATTTTTACTCCCAAGGATATTTTAAATTTCCAAGTGAGTGCTTTGTGCATTTTCTGTTCTTAATTATGTTCTGCCGTTCAGTTTGTTTGGTTGATTTACATGATGTTGGCATTATAGAATATGGAATAATCGCTGGAATCAATTACGAGAAGGGGAGATTAGCCGCAAATGATCATCTTTAAGTACCTCAGTTTTTTTCACGGTAAAATGAGACGTGTCTGAAATTTAAATTTAAAAGGTTATATATACTGTTTGTCATGTATTCATATTGTCATTTGAAAGGGTAGGAATTTTAATGGTTCCTTTTTGTTTCCATCTTTAATTTCTAGAAACCTTCAGCACTCAAGGTCCAGCCATCTCAAGGTCGAGCCATCTCAAGGTCCGGACATCATGACCTCAGTTTTAGCACAATTGTTGGTAGTCCTCATCTCACTGCTTTTGGTGCTGCCTGTTGCTGAAGCAGTAGAAGCTGGAGATGCAATCGCTCTCTTTTTAGCTGTGGTTCTCTGCATTACAGGTTTTTGTGCTTGTTTGGGGGTATATGCACGAAAGAGAAATGGAGAGGTGTGACTTTGAAGGGCCTCCTGAATCAAACCTTGCCCTGAAAAGCTCAGGTTAAAAACTGAGCTTTAATGTCTGAAAGTTCCCAAGAAACAGTAATAGGGTAATTTTACATATAAATGGGAATAAACTGATATATGTTAAATGGAAAAAAAAATTTTTTTCACAACAAATAATGCACTGAAAAATGCAGTCTGTAATTTATTTACTAGTTAGAAAGGTCAAAGAAGATGGCTAAAATTTGCATAAATAATATTTAATAATCTCAGAATTCTCAAAGCACATGAAATTAGAAGAAGGAAACTCTTGGCCGGAATCCTATGAAGCAGTCACTATTCGGTTGTAATTACTGCCTCCTGCATTGTTGAGGAGTCTTTTCTCTATATTTTTATTAGCTTTTTGTTTTGTATCTCTCAACTTAGTATTGTACTTGGATATTAGATATCAAATATAGTCAGTCAAAACCTAAAACTTTTATTTCTTTGGAGGAAAAAATGTATTCAGTGTATCTAACATTGAAATGGAGAACAGATGTAATGTATAAAAAATACTTTGTGTTGACATTGAAATAGAGAAGACATTTAATGTAAAAATTAAAAGCCTTTATACTGAGTAACAGCCCCGTGGTAAGAAATACTGTATTAAAGATAAACCCATTATGTTATAAGTAAATATATGGTCTATTTTTGTTTATTTTAAGCTATTATTTTTCTTTATGTGGACTTTTATAAAAGCTAAGTGAGAAGAGCAGGATGCTTTACCTTAAGTGGCCACACTAGCTTATAGAGACACAATTGGTGAACAATGAGAAATGGACATAATCAAGGTCCTTGGTAGAGAATCCACAGATACAGAAAGAAAACGTAGTGGCTTATACTGATTTACACACCAACTTGATGAGACATACCCTCTCTGACCTTGCTACTTAAAGTTTTCCCAAACCAGCAATATTACCTGGGGACTTGTTATAAATGCAGAATCTCAGGCCTCATCCAGATCAGTTGGATCAGAATCTGCATTTGTTTTAGAGTCCAGGATAATTTGTATACACATTTAAGTTTTAGAAGACTGATCTAACCTGTTTGATCAGTAATCACCCAGTACACTTGATAAAACTCAGATTCCGAGGTCCATCTCCCAGTTGTGTTGGAATCATTGTAGGTTGGAACCTGGGATTCTATGTTTAACAAGGGCACCCAGTGATGCTTTTGATTTTGTAGTTGCAACCAGCATGGAATTATCTCAGTAAATCAAACTATTTTCGTTCTTACGGAAGCATATAGTCAAGTTTTTTCCTAAAATAATGCATTATCTAGTCTCTAGTTCTCCAGGTGACATTGGGAGCCCTAATTTTGGTCAGAAAACAGCAGCAACCTAAGATTCCATTTACAGTGCATTTCTGTAGGTATGAGCTGACCTGGCAAATGAGGGATTTGATGGAGGGTACAAAGTGAGGGACAGACATGCTATAAAAACTGAATGGATCTGTTTTTGTCATAGCTGTTTTGTTTTTTCACCAGAGAAAGCTCTAACATTTTTTGTTCAAATAAATTGGCAGTTATGCATTGTGTAATTATAGAACTTAATTTTACTTTTTTTTTTTTTTTTTTACAAAAGAGAAAGAAATGCAGCTTGTGGGACAGTTTATCCTGTCTTATAAACTAGCCCATTGGTGCGAATGTAGGTAGAAGCTGCTGCTTCTTGTATGTCTGAACTTAAATCACAGTGTATTAGTCATTTAGTCACATCCAGATCCTATTTTTAAAATGTTCAAAATAGGACTCCAGGCACACATTCTTTAATGAACATGTATTTCCAAAAGTGCCTAGAAGGAACTAGAAAACTGCTATTTTCCTATTTTACCCTTAAAAGTAGAGAATTATGAGGAGGCATTCGGGAATTTTAATGGATATGAATGCCTTCTGTATTTTTAGCCTCTTGTCTAAGGGATTATATGGTTTTGCCTGAAAAGTACAGGAACTCTTAGAGTGGCTCTTAACCTTTTTGGGGCCACCATTTTTCCTTTGAGAATCTGACAAAAGATATGCTCATTTTCTGAGAAAAATGCATGTACATGCTGGCATTTTTAGATTAATTTTAAGGAGTTCACAAAGCTGAAGCCCATCCAGAAATCTCAGGTTACAAATTTCTGCTCTTGTATTTCCTTTTTTTTGAGGTTTTTCCCCATTCCTGGAATTCCTTGATTTGCTCTGAAGGATGACACCTGCTGTTGGAGCAATTATAGGAAAAATGGAATTGACAAATGTCCCCGAGGTACCCAGCATAATTTGTAGTTGTCTAGTAAATGCTCTGTACATGTTAACTTGATTGAGTCCAGTTAAAAAGACAGAAGACTAATGGTTGAAATCAACAAGAAGTGCTGGCAAGTAACCTATTCTAATGCCAAAAATCAGTGCATTTCCTGCATCATTTCTCTGGCTGCTTTCAAGACTTTTTCCCTGTCCTTAATTTTCAGAAGGTTGACTGTAATGTGTCTTATTTTTGAGTTTATCCTGTTTGGGGTTTATTCAGGTTCTTAAGCCTTTAGGTTTACGTCTTTTCCCAATTTAGGTAATTTTCAGCCATTTTTTCAAATATTTTTTTTAGCACCATTTATTTCTCCTTTCCTTCTGGGACTCCAGTGACCCAATTGTTAGATCTTTTGTGACAGTCCCCCTTGTCTCCAGGGCTCAATATTGATTGATTGATTGATTGATTGATTGATTATAGTCATCTTTTGTTCAGATTGGGTAATTTCTAGTGTTCTATCCTCAGGTTCACTTACTCTTCTTTGTATATTTAGTGCTAAATTTTCCATTTGGCTTTTCTTTGTAACTTATTTCTTTGTTGAGACTTTCTTTTTTTTCTCTCATATGTTCCAAGCATGTTTGTAATTGTTAGTTAAGGCACTTTTATCATGGATGCTTCAAAATTCTTGTCAGATAATTATAACATCTGTATCATGTCAGCATTGACATTTTTAATTGTCTTTTCTTATTCAAGGTAGCATCTTCCTTGGTATGATGAGTGATTTTTTTCATTGATACCTGGACATTTTGAGTATTATATTAAAAAGACTCTGGGTCTTATTTAAATCTTGAATTCTATTAGGCCTCGTCTGGTACCACTCCCTTACAGGAAGGGAAGATGCTGCCTCATTACTACTAGATAGGGGTAGAAGTCTAGAGGATACCTCATTAATGCTCTCCATGCTCCTCTGTTGACCCTGAGGGTGGGGTACCTTGTGGTAGGTGTGAATGTTCAGACTCCCCCAGTGTGGGCTCCACTGTCCTATGGCCATGTTTGAGCCCATTGGCATTTCTGGATCACCAGCATCTCTAGGACCTAGTCAGAGATTTATGAGGCAAAAAGAAAACCCAGAAAATTCACCACCATGCCTTCTGGTCTGGAGGCCCTAGGTGGTTTTCCTTTTTTTCATCTTTCATAATCTTCTTATGTTTGTTTTATACATAATGTCAGGATTTTTAGCTGCATTTGGTGGGAGAAATAGAAAAAAAAGGATGTTTACTCCATCTTCCTGGAAGCAGAAGTCTCATTTTCTGTAGAGATAAAACATCAGTAAATGATAAATTCAAAGTATTTCACTTACAGACCTTTGTCCTGTGATCTCCCACATCTTCCCTTCCTTCTTCACCCATCCAATGTATTATTTACCCAATAAACTCAACAAGGGTGTATGACTTACAAGAATTCAGGAGTGTAGATGAAGTTTAAAAAAATAGATTCTATTCATATTTTGTCTCAGCATAGAGAGTGCAAATGGCAGCTTCTTGAAAAACTGATGTGATACCAAATGTACTAACTGAAGGAAAGCCATGTCCAGGAAGTCTCAAGCTACACATCACATGCACCTTTGTCCTCTTAGGCTTTCTAAGCTCTGCAGAGCCTTGTCAAATGCCATTTCCAACATTGGCTATAGGAAAGGTAATGTAGCTATATAGCCTGCAACACATAATGAAGGGAGGAGAATTCTCTGCATAGGAACCATCTCCCAGAGATTCACATGTCAGTCTGTGGGGGTTAAAGGCTCAAATCCAACAGACCTTGATAACCAGGCTGTACCACTTCAAATGTGATCTTAGACAAGCCATTTAACTTCTTTTAAATTTGTGTCTCCCTGTCTTCTAAATGGGGATAATAATTGTACCTACTTCATAGATAGGTAAGGAATATGTAAAATAATGAATGTGAAAAGCTTGGCATGCAGGGTGTTACTGATATTTGGAGGAGGGAGCCACTAGCATTAATTATTTAAAGAGGGCATCTTTAGAAAGTCATGCTAACAAATCCTGTATTAAATAGTTCATTATATTTTAATTTTGACATTTCCGTGTCTGTTTTTTTTTTTTACCATAAGCTTACAAATTGCTGAAACTCAAAAGACATCTGTGAAGAAAAGAAAATCTGGCTTATCTAAAGTTTCCCCACGTCTTAATTTGTACCTGAGTCTCTTGAGGCAAAAAAGGGAATAACTGATTGATTCTATTTTAGTAATTCCTAATGTGTTCAACCATGAGTCTTTCCTAAGTGACATAAAGAGAGCTCAGCAGCAACTGCTCAGGTCATTTAAAAAGATGTAAGGAATTTTGTTCTGCCTATTAAAGAAAATAGCTGATCTGGTCCATATTTTACCAAGAAAAATCTCTTCTCTTTAGAAGTTATAAAGATATAAATAATACAAAATTTGTTTAATGTTTGTTCCCTATGGTGAGAAATGAAGAGGAAGCCTCTATTTTGATTTAGTAATCCCAGGCGGACATTTTATTCTTAGGTGAGAACAGGACCAAATCAATAAATATGGGGGTAGAATAGCATGTTTAAAATTTTTTTCTAATTTTTAGTAACTTAATTTTTCTAAATCATTTTTGTGATTATATAGTATACATCTAACATCTACATGCAAAAGACCAGAAAGAGATGACTACTGCAAAATACTAAAATGTGGTTTGATGTCTCATTGATTGTAATATCAGAGCTGCAATACCCTCTCATACATATTTCCAGTGAAACCATTATATGTAGGTGATTAAAATTTTGAAAATATTAATTGGCACTTGATCATCTGAAATGAAATTATGAATTTTATATACAAGAGGGTTAATTATTACTATTTTTAATCCTCACCTGAGGATATATTTTTGTTTTCTTGCTGATTTTTACAGAGAGAGGAAGGAAGAGAGAGAGAAAAAAACATCGATGTGAGAGAGAAACATTGATTGGCTACCTTCTGCACACACCCCTTCCAGGCATGTGTGTGCAGAACCAAACCCGCAACCTTTCCATACAGGACGACGCTTCAACCTACTTAGCCACACTGGCCAGAGTGAGGTTTAATTCTTTTAACAGGCTAATCATGTAGCACTTGGTTAAATTGAGATTATACATACCATATATCTCAATATTAATGAATATGATTATGCTGTGGATAAATAGATAAGTAACATAACAGAATTTAGAAGCAGGCACAATCATCAAAAACAAACTATACCGTATTCTTTTATTTTTATTGAAAAACTTCATTGGCATTTTTTATTGAATTTATTGGTGACATTACTTAATTGAATTATTTGTTGACATTGGTTTGCAAAATGATACAGGTTTCAAGGGTACAACTCAATAAAACATTATCTGCACACTGCATCATGTGCCTATTGCCCCAAGCAAAGTCTCTTTCCATCCCTGTTTTCCCCACATTTGCCCACTAACAACTACTACCCACCTCCCTTTTCCTCTGGCTATCACCACACTATTGTGTGTCCATCTGTATATATATATATATATATATTTTTTTTTTTCCTAATCTCTTTAACTTCTTTCATCCAGTCCACAACCCCCCTGCCTTCTGACAGGTGTCAGTCTGTTTCATGTATCCATGCCACTGTTTCTATTTGGTTCATCAGTTTATTTTGTTGATTAGATTCCACATATAAGTGAGATCATATGGTATTTGTCTTTCTCTGTCTTATTTTATTTAGCATAATATTCTCCAGGTACATTCATGCGGTTGTAAGAGGTAACATTTTCTTTTTTTTTACAGACGAGTAATATTCCATTGTGTAAATGTACCACAGCTTTTTTATCCACCATCTACTGATAGGCACTTGGCTATTGTAAATAATATTGCAATGAACGTAGGGATGCATATATTCTATCGATTTAGTGTTTCCAGTTTTTTAGGATATATTCACAGAAGTGGGATCACTGTGTCAAAAGGCAGTTCCATTTTTAATTTTTTGAGGAAACTCGATTCTGTTTTCCACAGTGGCTGCACCAGTCTGCATTCCCACCAGCAGTGCACAAGGGTGTCCTTCTACCCACATCCTCGCCAGCACTTGTTTCTTGATTTATTGATGATAGCCATTCTTACAGGTGATATTGATACCGGACACAATGGATCCAAGGCTGCCTGTCACTACTTCAGCCAAAGTAAGCAGAGACAGGGTTGAATCATATGTCAACGTTTATTCCAATAATGCCAGCATTATGGGTAGAGCAGTCAGTCACCCTGGAAATTCTGCTCTGCCTCCCCTTGCCAGTTGGCTGATTACATACGGGCAAGAGAGAAGATAACTCCATGCAGCTTCAA